AGCAAGAAAGTCGGTGTTTGAGGACCTACTGTAAAAGATTTCGTGTCCAGCATCAAAACAAATATTTTCACCCTCTTTGTCTATTGGCATGGGACATGAACCATCCCGAAAATTCAAAATTTAGCATGGACCCTTGCCCTTTGGACTGCATGTCACAACACCTACGTTCAGAGTTGTCTGTATAACGGTACGACAAGTCTTTTAGCGACAATTATATAGGTACAAGCCTTTACTATGTTAAATAAATCAAGTTTCATTCCCTATATGGGCCTCCATCTATGCTAACAAAACCTTACCTATCAAATGATTGCATAACATTCTTATTACAAATATTTTGGCATACTACACATTTCCTCACCATCCTAAATATACTTATTAAACAGTTCAATGTTCAAATTATTCTTGAAAAACTCAAAATACCACACATAAGGCACAATAAAAGTTAAGTTGTCACTTGACACCGTCAAAAAGAAATGTAAGTTTGCCAAACTTAAAGATTATGAACCAGAATGTTCAATATCCACATACAATATACGTGTAAAAGAAGATGATAAAAATCATATTGGTGCTTTTAATTCTATTTTTTTGACAACATAGAAAGAGCGTACTGTCAGAAAGATGGAACAAAATGGTAAAATCGTTGGCTTTGCTGATGATATAGTATTATTTTAAAAAACGTACACTAATAAAAAATCTCTTTTAAATGTATGTGATTCATGAAATAGAAACAGACCCATAAAACATGTTAAAAAAGTGTAATAATCATTTTGGAGCGCAATTGCATCAACCGAAACTTTACTTGAACTTTTGATAAATAATCTCGGTAGTACAAAGAGATTATATCACCAAAAATTCGCAAAAATATAAATGTTTAACAGGATGACAATTTAGCCTGTCAACACAGTGAAAAAGCTAAAAATATCGTTCGGGCAATTTATGTTGTTAGTAAGAAAGTGACGAAATATTCTAAGCCGTTTTCAAAAGGAGAATTTGTGAAAGAGCATTTAATAGAATTGGCAATTTGTGTTTAGAAAAAGTACCATTGTTCTCAGGTTGTTTGCAAACAAGCATAATACGCAATCGAGTAGTCATCACATCACCATAGCTCGTTACGAAGCGCATTTTAATAGCTCCTCTTTCTTTTTCTTATCTTTTTTTTCTTGTAGTCTCTTGGTTGACTATTAATAAAGCCATTATTCACGTGTTGGAACAAACCACTTTTCTCGATGAGCTGCCCACTGTAAACAAACACAAATATAGCCGGTGGTCGCTCGGATGGGTAGTCAATTCGAAAAGTCATTTGCAATTGTCGGGTATATATACAGAGAACGCAACAACGTGAATTTATGCATGTTGTAACCAGTTTCGAGAGTATGCCTATATGACACAAACATGCAACAAGAACGTAATACGGCTTTGATGTATTGTGATTTGCTTCTAGGGAAACAAAATTATCGATTTTGTATTAAATTGTAATTTATGCACATTTTAAAAAGTACGCTAAAGTAATTATCAAAATTTGGTAAGAATATAAAAAACAATATTACTATCTATATATAAATAGGCAAAGACAAAATGGTTCAGTACCATTTCCTCTTCTGTTTGTGAACCGATTTTCTTTTTTTAAATTTGGTTTAATACCTATTGACGAACTTTAGTATTATCAATGAAAAAAATTGGAAATAGTTTTTTTTCTCAACCTTCAATATAATATAAAATCCATTGATACACAATTATGAATTATGATTAGGGTTGCCAGATTTCCGAAAGTGAAAAGCGTGACAACCGTGACGACAGAGTATTAGGTTTAAATACTTTTGTATTTGTGTATAAATAACGCAATAAAATCTATATGAAACTTTATTCTCTTTTTGACAGATCCTTTTTATAATTCATAAAAAGACAACTTTCATGACAACAACGATAAAACAAAACATAAATAGGTTGTGGGTTCGGTTCCATGTTCTATGTCAAGTGTGACAACTCGCACTCTTTGATAATTAACTCCCTGGTACCAATCTCAGTCTAGTCATATTCTTTCAAAGACATACACAACAAATACCAAGCATTTTTATATAATCAGGTCCTTTCTTTTGTGAAATTTCTAAAAAAAAGGTCCTCACTTATATATTTCGTCAAGTCCCTTAGCCCTTTACCCGCAGATTTGTCTATTTTTGTATAAAAGCGTGGCATTTGCATCAAAAGAGTGGCATTTGCATAAAAGCGTGGCTTTTTCGTAATGTGACGTTTCGCGTAAAAGCAAGTCAAAAAGCGTGGCAAACACGTCAAAAGCGTGACTTCTGGCAATCCTAATTATGATTAACTAATAAAATTAGCTTATAGCGAACATGAGCACCCTTTAATTCCAAACATAGACAATATTACACAGACGGATAGATGATCGTGAAAATGAAAAAAAAAACTTCCCTTCCCATTCCTCCAACTTCCCCCCTCTTTCTCTATCATGCTTAAATGGTAAGGGATGTAAAATAACTAATAGTGGGGCTATACGCCCCGTCTGAAACAATTACAAGCCGTCCCTTCCCCCTCCCACCCCTTCACCCCACCACAGCGAAGGTCGATATATAGAACTGCTAAACTTATGAAACTGAACTTGGGTACGATGGATTGGGCTTTAAGATGAAAAAATATCACCCTTTCTAACTCCCTATTCCCTCCCTTTCATATGAAAAAAACAAAAAAAAAAAAATGTTTTTTCGTAATTAGAACCGAAAGTCGCATACCTTCATGTTTTGGAAATGTTATCTTCCTCTGTTCCCTCCACCTTCCCCTCTACTCCCACCACCTCCCCCTCTACTCCCTCCACCCACGGTTGTATAGGGGACCAAAATGTAAGATGTAATCCGATTTTCGTTACTACCTTCCCCTCCCATATTAACTAAATATAAAACATCATTATAAACAACACAGAGAGAAATAAAAACTAATACTAAATTAATAAGTAAACAACCGATGAACAAACAATGAAACAAAATGAAATGTTAATTTGAAAATAGAAAATTATCAAGTTTTTTCTTGAAAACATTACCAGATGGAGCATTTACAACATTCTCAGTATAATTAGGTCTGGTTGACCGACGCTGCATGTTTTCAAGAGTATTTTTATCCCTCACTAGATTCGGACACCAACAGATCCGCAATGCTCCATAGAATTTTGAAAAACTTTTGAGAGTTTCTTCTCTACTAGGTAAATTACATTACATACTTTATTTAACGTTTAACCGTTTAAAAAGTAATTATAACGAGGAGTATTTTCACCAATATGGAGAACTACACTTTTATTTGTAGTTAGAGGTAGCATCCAATCTGAACACCACCAAGGTGGAGTCAAGGTCATCTTGAAACTGCTGGAAGTTCAGAAATGAGTCACTAAATAGTTTAGTTTCATCCGCGTAAAAACATTGTAGCACTTGATATGGAATTGAAGATCACTGGCATATAATATAAATAAGAGTGGGCCTAAAACTGCTCCCTGAGGAACGCCACTCAAGACTGATCTTTCAAATGAATGTAAATTTACAACTTTAACGCAGCACTTCCTGTTTGTTAAAAATGACTTGATGAAATTCAGTAAATTATCACGTATATACGAAGGTGTTCTAACTTATGTATTAATCTTCGTTTCGGCACACGATCAAAAGCTTTCGCAAAATCTAAGTAAATAATGTCTACAGTTTTTTTTTCTGTCTAATGAAATTGTCTACCAATTTACGGGTAAGATATCTGGTAATTGATTCAGGAGTGGTTCATTGAAGAAAACTTTTTTAAAGGTATTAGCCAGAAGTTCAGCCGTTTCGAAATTATTTTGTTTAGTAATGGAATAGACTTTTGATGACAGTGAAGATCGAATATATTTGTATAATTTACAGTTGTCACTGCATGTTATCCACTCTTCATATTCTTCTAGGGCCACATGCCTAGATTTCTTTAGGCCTTTGGTAACATTTTTGTGATGTTCTAAATCGGCAATATTATTTATACAAACTAAATGAAAAGTAAAGGAGTTAGAATAAATTTTAATAGTAATAAATAATTTCATATTAGGGACATTGATGTCAAGAGAAGTAACAGAAAAATGTTGTGTAATATCTGATGATAAATAAATACAGACACCTCCACAGCGATGGTCTCTTCGATCGCATCTGTATAGAGAGTAATTCAAAATGTCATACATGGAATCAGAATCATTTGATGTTAACCATGTTTCTGTAATAAGAATAAGTTTTAAATTTTGTACAGAGCATAAATTTATTAAATTTACAGTTAAGGGTTTCTAAATTCGTATATAAAAAGAATCAGTCGTAAAAACAAAATTTATCAAGATTATTGGAGAAATTTGACAATCTTTGGGACACCATGTATATATTTTATAGTTAGGTCTTGCTCTCCATTATTTTTCTTTAAATAAAGTTTTAACCTTAATACTTTTAGACATTCGATTTGATTAGGGGTTTTATCATGGGTACTAGTTTTTTTAGTGGTAACTTTTTCTAGAAGTTTCTTTTTGTTTCGTAAAATATGCCTTGCGTGAGAATGTGAGAATGTAAGCGGATTCTGGTCATATTCTACAGTTTGCAAAATGTAGAATGAAGTTTTTTGAACAGCATCTGTGACTATCACTTTTTATATTTATTTTATAGTATTTAATATTTAGCAGGACAAATGGAATTTACTTATTTCAATCATTAAACATTTTACTATCAGCTGCCATTTCACTTAAATCCATCCAATAAAAGATAGGTTGTAAATGACATTGTAAATCTCTGTTTTAATCGTGTAAAATATACTGAAATGGCGGCCTGAAACCAGTAACGCCACAATCGAAATAGCGAACTATTCAAATTGCAATTTTGTATTCTTTATAAAATCCGAATAACACAATGAAAATTAAAAAAAAAAATAAATAAATAAATAAATGGGTGTAATGATATATATTTTCATCTATTTTTTTAACCAATAAATTTGTTAATATTATTTACCCTTCTGCCGGCTTCATTATTGTGCAGATTCATAAGTACTCGTCCTTGTTCTCTGGTACCTCTTTTGAATTTTCTTTCTTTTTCTCGCACGTCTACGAAACTCTGAGTAAATCTGAAAAAAGAAGACAACCAAAAGTTATAGTTAGAGGCACTGTCAATGTAATAAGAAACAAATTTTATTAAAATCAATAAATATTTCAAATCGTAGCTTTATATGTTGACGTACGCCACTGCATCGAAGATTTAACGAGGCATGTACGGATTAAGATTAGCAATTTGTTTCGGGTAATGGCATGATGTATGGGCTGGGGTGTACATGACGTTTATTATAGGGGGGGCTTCGTCCATATCAAATCGGAAATACTCTTTCAGATTTGACAATTACCGGAATTTATGGATAGATTTAAATTACTGGGATAACGCACTCGGTTATAAACGATAAGTACTGTAATTTGTGTTAAAATGTTTCTTTTTTATTTAGGTATGCAGGGTGTTCTAATAGCGACTTTGATTTTCGAGAGGGGTATTAAATAGTAAACTTTTTTATTTGGAAATATGTGTCATTAAATTTTAAATAATTACATCATCTGTTTTTAAACTAGGAGGAGCGATTTGAATTTAAATTAGCAATTCTGTAGACTTCTAATTGGTCAGTTTCATACATCACTTTTTAACATTAACACCAGCTGATAATTGACAGTGTTGACAGTTCGGACATTTTATATTTTTAGTTTTGTTATTGTTTTGCTCCTTTCATATCTCATCATTATTACTTAGTTTTTAATTTATTTCGTTATAACTATAACTATAAATTTCTACGATTATGGATCCTTTTACACCGAGTACTATTAAGGGTAGCAGTTCACCAAAACAACGAAAACGGATGAATTTTGGCCATTTAAGTCTCTCAGAAAAACAGGACATAATAAATATGTACAAACCAAAATTTTTGATGTTATATCCGCAGTTTCTCAAGCCGCCGTTAAGTTTTACTCATTACTTTGAAATAAAAATGGTATTACATACTCAACATTTTTCTTATAAAGTCAACAACTTACCGAGTATTGAAAGAATACTGCAATAATGGAACAATATCTAGTCTAAAAAATATTGGCAGAAGACCAGGTTATCCAGACTTTTTTCGTGGAACATCAGTGATCATCAAACACTTAGGGTTTAATGATAAGCCAAATAATATATAAACAATAACGACTTAAGAAGTCTGTTTTTCCTAAAGGTGCAAGAAATTTACGGATTCCCTAAGTTACCTTCGTTGCCTTTAGATTTAGTAAAACTCAATATCAAAAAATTAACTTTCAATATATTAACACTAGTTATAAATGTGGTAAACTACACAAGAACAAAAATTATGGTGTAGAATGTTCATACAACAAACTTACCTAACCAACCCTTAACTATCTGGCCAGGAAATTAATATTTTAACTATCAAGTTGCTAACACCTGTTTTATTTTAGCAAAAATAATTTGGATAGATGCTCTTAACCTAATACAACCTAACTATAATAGAAAAAAAAATAAATCAGGGGTTCATAATTGTACTCAAATGTAGGTACTATTAACTTTTCAATAAAAGAAAAACACAATCAAAGTGGGTACGATACTTGGGTTGTGGTGAAGTAGCGATCTGATTCAACTCTGCACGGTGTTAGTGATGGCAGCTCCACTCATGGCCAACAACGCAGCAACCCAATCCAATATCCAAGCGGTCGTATCAGTTTGTTAAAGCACAAAGCACCAAATTTCCAAACCGCAGACAGATTTTATTCGTGCAAAACAAGACAATAAACGTGGATACTCAAATTTCTCTAAATACCTAATACGGCACCTAACTAGCCAAGAGGAGCAATAATTCCAAAAAACAAATCTACCGTCATAATTGTTCTCTCTTCTGTGATTCTATATTCCCCTTTTTTGGTTGCACACTGCATCTAAGGATTTTACAGGGTGGCAGTAGTCAAAAATTAACAATTAAATTATTATTAATAAAGGTAACTATAATATTTAAAAAACATTCTACAAAGACTGTTTAACACAAAAAATAATAGCCAAAATGTTGTGAGTTTTCACAACACCAGCACTTCTAAAAATATTTGATGAGGGGTTCAAAAATTCTATTCAAATTAAAAATGGTATTAAAAACTCAACATAAAAAATTGACTCCTATTAGATTTTCGTTTCTTTACCCCTCATTGGCCGTTCGCCGACTAGGGTCGATAATGACAACTGGTTCATAGATTTTGAACAAGACTATTTCGGAATACGCTCTTAAGATGCCATCCAGGAAGGTGAGACCGAGACAGGAGACAGGAGACAGGAGACAGGAGGCAAGAGACCGAAATGTGTCTGTTCGTCTGAATAATATGTAATTAAATTAAGGACATTTGGGACAGCGCGACCGATAAAAGAGATGTGACAGCAATTTTAACACGACAGTGTTTGCTGCCTTGCTAACTGTGGCTGTCGCCTTGCATCGGTCTCGCGTTCTCAAATGTTACCTAACTAATCTAGTTACTTTTCCCTGTGTAAATACGTGTTTTCAATTCTTTTCTCCTAGTATAGATTTTTGATAAATCCAAACTCTATTTTTTGATAGATTGTTATAATATTTTTACAAAATGAGATTTATGGCAGATATTGGTCTATAGTTATTCATTTTACAGTGATCCCTAGATTTAAAAATGAGAGTAACTGTACTATGTTCCCACTGGCAAGGTATTTATTATTCCAATAGACAAAGCAAGGTTTATAATATGAATTAAATATAGTGTCCAGGTAATGTTTTGGGATTGAAATAAAATTTTTATATCCGTATAAAATACAATAATAATAAATAAATAAACATATAGGATAGGTATCACAAAAACACCGACCCATTAGAGACATTATAAGATTGTTAATGAATAGTTAATAGAAAACGATAATTGAAACCAAATATTTGCAATTTCCCATAAAACGTTAATAGACAAAATGTCGCCATTACTTACACTTTAACACGCAATATACAGCTATCAAAATACTCCAATATATCTTTAGATGTACCTTGTAATAACGTTTAATAGTACATAATTGATTTATGCTTAACATAACAGCATTCCCCAGGTGTACCAGATATTCTAAACAGCTGGCGAAGCCAACCGGAGGCTTTGATTTATGACTGTTAAAAACATTTTTTATAAATTTAAAGAATGCGCATACTTTTTCTCATATTGTCACATCAGATCACGTCAGGTGTTTTAGTAATTGATTTTGAATTAATTCCTGTTCTATATTATTCTAATTAGCTACAACTAAAAATGTATCGAATGTTTTAATTTCAGTTATGTATGTAAAAATAAAGGTCTTTAATTTTCTAAGAAAATATTTATTGATTAGTTTAATTGGTATTAAAATAGTATTATTGTTTATTATTTACAGCTAATAGAATAATTGAAGGTATAGTGCAGGCATGGGCAACCTTTGCTTAGCTGAGGGCGTAATTTCGGGACTTATTTAGGTCCCGGGCCGTAGACAAGAAATAAGTAGATAGTAGTGAATAAAAAATTCACACATTTTTTTATTTATTAATTATACGAGGCCTGTCTAAAAAGTATCCGACCTTTGACCAAAAAAAATATTTCGAATACCTGACGGAGTTGGGACCCTAATTCCCTTCAAAGTAGGCCCCTTGTACTTGCACACACTTAGGCCACCGATCCTTACACTGATGGAAACACCTCTGGAAGTCTTCTTTTGGAATGGTGTTCAGCTCCATCGTCGCGTTCCGCATTATCTCTTCTCTACTCTCAAAACGGGATCCTTTCAGTGGCGTCTTCAATTTTGGAAACAACCAGAAGTCGCAAGGAGCCAGGTTTTGAGAGTAGGGAGGTTGGCGAACGGTTGTAATTCCATGTTTGGCTAAGAAAGTGTTGATCAATTGGGATGAATGTGCAGGGGCGTTGTCATGATGCAAGTGCCAGTTGTTCGCCGTCCACATGTCTGGTCTTTTGCGCCGAACTGCGTCACGGAGTCGCCGGAGAACATCTTGATACTACTTCTTTGTCACTGTTTGTCCTTTCTGTGCGTATTCGTGATGCACAATTCCACGGACATCAAAGAAAATAGTCAGTGAAGGTGACAAAATCGGTAGTGACAGACCTAATTAAAAAACATTCCCTTGTGAAAATCAAGGAAAGATGGGATGAAACAAGAAACTGCAGAGTTGCCAGGGAGCTCTTAAGTTATCCTGACAACACTGCAGCAAACAAATACTCGACTATGACTAGACAGAATCTGTGCCTAGTCACAGGCATTCTGACTGGTCATTGCCAAGCATCTCCATATCATGGGGCTGTCAGAATCCACACTCTGCAGACGGTGCGAACAAGAAGATGAGACCATCGAGCATATCCTTTACGATTGTTCGACGCTCTCATTTATTAGAAGATTTGTGTTCGGCGAGTATCGGCTAACACCGGCCGATATAAGAGAAGCACCTCTTGGCGACGTTATCAACTACATTAAATCTGTAGGCCTGCTCACGAGCTAGGAGGTGCCTATCTTCTCAGGAGGATGCACAATGGGCCTAATGAGGCCTAAGTGCCGTGGGGTAACCCACCCTCCACACATTACAGATACAGAACCGTTTATGACCAGCACATTTTTGGTGAAATTTCATTTATAGCAGAATGTATTAGTCCTTGTCGGGTATTCCTGTCCAAATTAATATATTTTGGAGACTATGGGTGAGATTACAGAACGTCTGCAACTTTACAGATCTGTAAATATGGCAGCAACTTTGCAGATCTGCAAATATGGCGGACTTACAGATGCAAGTATCAAGTTTTCGTATTCCAAAAAATATCTGCAAATTCGCCATATTTATTGTGGTTTATTACCCCCAACAACACTAAACCCAAATCCACCCTTAAGAGTGAGATTACAGAAGCTCTGCAAATCGTACTTGCATCTGCAAATATCAGTTGCAGTTGCAAAAGAGAAACATGGTATTACAAAAACGTGTTTTCACTTTTTGCGTCTGCAAATCATCTGTAACTTTGCAGGAGGTTAGAACATCCTAAAAACTTGCATATTGTCAATTTTTACTTTACTTTTTTTTTAAAAACCATGTAGTCTTCTGTTCCTTATTATTGAATACAGTTCGTGGTGTCAGATTATCGAGTTTTTAAACATAGTAATTGATTTGAGTTTAGTGTTGTTGGTGGTAATAGACCACAATAAATATTGCGAATTTGCAGATATTTTTTTGAATACGAAAACTTAATACTTGCATCTGTAAGTCCGCCATATTTGTAGATCTACAGAGTTGCCGCCATATTTGCAGATCTGCAAAGTTGCCGCCATATTTGCAGATCTGCAAAGTTGCAGACGTTCTGTTATCTCATCCTATAACGATAGCCTAGGTATCTGTGAAAAATTGTTGAGCGTATTAACTAGATTTTATTAGAACTACCTTCTGAACTTATTTTATTTTATTTTATTATTTTTGCAGGCAATTCGATAAATATTCTGACGATTCAATTCAAGTTTGACCTCTTATTCTTTTTTAAACGTTTATTATTTTAAACTGTGGATTTCATTATTTATTTTTCTTATGTTTTTTATTTTTGTTAAGCATTTTGACGATTCAGTTATACCGTTATTTGAGTTACAATTCCGCCATTGCCGAAATATGTTTATCTTGTGGATTTAATTATTCCATTCTTATTTAATTTATGTAAAGTAGTCTGAAGATTCAATTAAACTGCTAATTAAGTTAGACTTTTAAAATTATTAAGAGCGTTTGTCTTACAACTTTATATTTATTATCTCGGTTTTGCTTTTATTTTTGTGGATAGATCGTTGTAAATGAAGACCGTTATTGTTTGGGTTTAATATTGCCCCACCGTTTACCGTTAATTGTAAATAATGTATTATTATATACATTTCCTGTGTTTCTTTCAACTATACTTCTTTTATCTAGCTCGTTCAGAATCACCTTTAGGGTAAAGGTACAAGCTGCTGACCGTTTAGTGAGGTACAGTCTGTTTGCTATACTTACGCGTGTTTCGGTTTAAAAATTTTATGAGTATTTCCAGGTAAGTACCCGAAAGTTTGACCTGTTCTTTGGGGAAATATCAACTGGTTAAATGAAATGAAAAATAATGTACAACTTTTTAATTAAATAATAATGGAGAATCTTTTGTATAATTGAGAGCAAAATTAAACTTCTTCATTAATGGAGTCTAATGTGGCTATTATAAACCTAATAATAATTTTATATTACACTTCACACAGAAAATATGGTCTATGTATAATAAGAGGGTTATTTAGCTCAAATAAAATATTTTCTAACATAAAAATTTGTTCCATGTAGAGAATTTCAAATGAAAAATAAAAAAATTGAACTTGCCAATAAAAATGAAAATCAGTCATTATCATCCAAAATATCATAATTGTCATTAGCATCACTGTCATCACCATTAATTGTTATTATGATTGGACATATTTCGTTTATTTTATTTTCACGAGTCCACCAATCTTCTATTAGTTTCTCGCACTTGAATATATAGTTCCGCCACACTTCTGGAGTTGCAATTGAAAGTGCTTTTCGCCAAGTTTCCCGAACTGCGTCGTCACTATAACCATTAGGCCCAATATAGTTGTCATAATATTGTTTTGCTATTCCCCATATATATTCGATGGGATTAAACTGGCAATGATACGGTGGCAGACGTAAAACTTGATGACCGTAACTTTCAATAATCTGATTCACAACAAAGGTTTTTGGTTTTGCGTGTATATTTGCCAAGCGTAATAATTCTGATTTTAATATATATTGAGGAAATGGTATATGTTCCTTTGTCAACCATTCTTTAATTTTATCAACAGTCCAAGAATTCGTTGGACTTTTGTTTAATACTTCAGAATGGTAAGGTGCATTGTCTAAAATAATTACGCTGGGCTCACTTAAACCTGGGAGAAGTTTTTCATGCAACCATTTTACAAAGATTTCTGTGTTCATATTATCGTGATAGTCACTGGATTTTGATTTAGATGAAAATATTAAATCAGCACCTCCTATAAAACCCGATTTCCCTCCTGCATGTAAAATTATGTGTCGCTTCCCTTCTCCATTGGTATGTTTGATGGACTTTACGTTATCATCTTGCCATATTCTCTTGGTTGCACCCCTAGAAATTATCCATGTTTCGCCTAAATATATAAAATTCGCCCCTTTAAATTTATAATATTTTCTTAGAAAGTTAATTATCTTGTGCACGACAGAACTTCTTTCACAAAGGGCCTTTCTGTTATCCTCCTTTTGAAATTTGAAACCCAAGTTATGTATCACTTGCCATAGACTTGTTCTACCAATGTCGTCAAATTTTCTATCTATTAATTCTGAGAGAATTGTATTTAAGGTCACATGTTCCTTGTTGACCCTCATTCGATAAATGGTATCACGAATTTCAAATTTCTTTCTATCTGGAATATCTTTCATTTTCAATGATGGGCGAGTTTTGCGGTGATCTTCTTTCGGCAGTTCACTATTGTGATTTTGTAATACTCCTCTTAATTTGGTTTCACTAATTCCTAGAGCATCGCATACGCGTTTTTGCACATCCGTAAAATACTTATGTACACTACAAATTAGACTATCTACATCTAACACACGTCTAGGCATTTTTAAAATTTCCACTACATTTACAATATACATACAATGTCAACGCTTGCAAAGAATCAATTCAATTGCAATATTTGTAACAAATTTAGTACCTACCCTAATGTTATTTTAATTTAAATCTGACCATTAGGGCAATTTTACCTAATTTCTTGGGAAGAGGCTTATTGGAACGATTGTCAATGACTAATTTGCATAATTTTGTTAATCCGAAACCCGCGTAAGTATAGCGAACATACTATATATATTATTTATTACAGGTACTACCACATAAGTAAATGATCACCTGGGGCTAACAGGTGTACTCGCGGACTGCGAGCAAACTGCGTTATCGAAACTGGCGCCCGGCCATGACTCCCACTTTCACGCAAGTTAATTAAGAAGACGTGTTACAAACTTCAATTTGTTAACTAGTCCTTTATGCACAACCAAAAATACTGCTGAACAAATTTGCTTCTCATCGTAGGCATTTTCAATTACATGTGTCTATTATGCGGTTAATTTAGACAATTGTTGAATATTGACAGATTTTAATCGCTTCAGCTATGGTATGAAAACTAGTATTCTTAAATAAAATTTAGAAGTAGAAGAATATCCAGTCAACAAAAGTGATGTAGGTACTTACTTATAGCCGTATTCTAAATTATCACCGCATCCTCCCCAAACCCAGTCTTTCTTAAGGTCCTTGGGTCGACCCATCCTGGAACAACCGCAAGAAGACAGCTGTCCATCCCTGCATGCTCTAGATATCGCATGGGATACTCCCGCTGATGCTAAGGCGTGAGCAAATGCTGCCTCTCTACTAGCTGAAACAAAATAGAATAATAAAATGCGGATCAAGGTTATTCAACTACTCAAAAATCGAAATCCATTTGAAATATAAGGTTCCCAGCAATGGGTTTTTCACGGAATTCAGTTGCCTGTTACTTGGCTACATTTTTTTGTCTCATGACCAAGATAATAGATCTAATACAGATCTTATTTTCTGTTTCACAACTTCACTTCAACCGTTTAACTATAATGCAACAGGAAGTTTAACAAAACTCTGTGGTTTAGCAGCATTGGAAAATTAGTATACCGGATCTACCATTTGGACACTAATTGACAATAGTTGTTCTCCATAAACCCTGCCTTTATCTGAGAACATTACAAGTTTAAGATTTAATATACCATTTCGTTGATCCAATTTTAGTTATATAAATTTAAATTATTTATATCAATCATTGTCCCGTAGAGTTCGCTCCTGCTAAGTTCCACTATGAATATTCCAGGAAGTTCCAATGTATGTTAATTTCAAACTATAAAATAATAATAAGAAAAAATATGTATTTGTTCCAAAATTTCGACCATCCTGTACATAATTTATCAAGAATTAACCATCAGAAAAGTAAACATAATTTCCAATAAACAAATAAGATACAATTACCTCACAAATAATTTTCAATACCTTTTGAATTCTTATCTCTTCTGCAAGGTGTTAATTTTTGTATGTAAATAAACATTATAACTAAACCGTGACTTTTTAGCACGTATTTATACCAATTAACCTAAAAACTACCTGTTAAAAGATCCCAATTAGATAAAAAGCATTAAAAAGTTGTGTGTTCAACTGGTTTTGAACTCTTATTAGAACTTATAGCCTCCGTTTTAAAATTTTTATTTTTACATGTAATAAGATATGTCCCAATGGTTGGGATAAAATTTAGTAGTCTAAAAATAGGCTGTAATGATAAAAGATCAAAATATTTTCTTCACATCAATTAGAGAAGACTTTTCTATGTATTTATGTTTTTGAAAAGTTAGAAGTAAGAAAAAGCAAAGTAGTAAAAATTGACCAAAATTGGAGCCAAAATCCCATTCTGCCCTTATTAAAAATACCACCGTGATTTCACTGTGCCGGAACATTATATATACATGGGCGTACTAATTCGCGTGTTTGCACAGAATACATATAATAATAATAAATTGTACAAAGAGGCACAGTTTAGCTACAAGCTATTCTTACACCTAACCTAAAAGTACAATATGAAAAAAAACAATGCTTTTAATAAAATAATAAAGAAAATTAGATTTTAACTGATTTTATCATTAATTTAGTTTCAAAATAATAATAAAAATAGTAATAAAGTTCGAAATATAAAACTAGATATGAAATAAAAATTAAAAAAAAAAAAAAAAAAAAAAAAAATAGAAACATAAAATATAATAATACAATGTATTAATTTAAAATAAGGTTGAAAAGTAAAGTTTTAAGAATTAAAAATTGCTGCGAGAGTAGAATATTCTTTAATTTTTTTTTGGGAAATATGTTGTGGATGATGTATTAGCTCCATTATGTATTCATTATAAATTTTAACAGATTGGTAGGTAAAAAATTTCTGAAACATGGGTGAATTGTGATGAGGAATGTGAAAAATATTTCTAGAGTGGACATTTAGAGGGTGCAGTGCTGATCTAACAACTAACTTATCCAAAAGACTTTTTGGTTTATTTCCTTTTATGACATTATACAAGAAATTAATAAAATTATATTGACGTTTATTTTTCATTTTTAACCATTTAAGTTTATAGATTTTATGAGATACTCGATCATATTTTCGAAGTCCATAAATAAATCTAGCACAATAATTTTGTACTTTTTGTATGCGGCTTTGTATATAAGAACCAATATTATGAGAAAATAGACAAAATTAAGGACTCTGATAACATTTTTTTCACCTTCCAAGACAGACTGGAATATAACTTTTTTAAATTCGAAAATGATTTTTGTAAAAGATTGTTTACATGCGAGTGGAAATTGAGATCAGAGTCAAACAGAATTCCCAGATTCTTTATGGAATCCGCTATAGGTAAAGACATTGACTAATTCAATTCCGTTGTTTTTTGTTTCCAAATTGGATTAGATGACATTTATTTTTATTGAGCTTAAGATTATGTTTAATTGACAATTTATAAATAAGATCTTCATTTAAGGCTTGTTCAGCAACTTGATAATAATTACTATCAATGTTGTAACAAAGTTGGGTGTCATCGACATACGCTTGTATTTTGCAGTTTCGAACAGATGTCAAGATATCACTGCTATATAAAATAAAAAGCATTGGTCCTAATATTGAGTGGCACACCAGACTTTACGTTTTTTAATGAAGAAAATTAATTATTTAAAAGAACTTTTTGACTACGGTTAGACAAATATGAATGAATGAGATGAATAGAATTTTCAGAAAAACCAAAATATTTTAGTTTGAAACAAAGTAGATTGTGATTGATAGTATAAAATGCTTTGGAATAGTCTAAAGCAACAAGTCCTGTAATTTGTCTTCTATTTCTTACAATATTATCAGTAACTTTTGACAAAGTATAACATATGTATTGTAGTCCTTCGGAAACCAGCCTGGCAATCCGGAAGTATTTTGTGTTCATCAATATAAAGGGAAATTCTATTATAGATAGCCTTTCAAGAATTTTGGACATCGCAATCAGAATACTAATAGGCCTTAAATCAGAAAAATGTTGAGGTTGTGCAACTTTACAAAATGGATAGTAGTTTCTTTGAATACAACAGTTTAGAAGTTGCGTAATGTAATTATCAATATGCGGACTACATTATTTTAGCATGGAGATTGATACAGCATCAGAACTTATGGCATTAGATTTGATATTATGGAGTAGTTTATTAAATTCTCCGACAGTTATAAAATCAAATGCTAGTTTGTTTCCATGCAAATTAGGTAATGTTGAATTATTATAATATTTTAAAAGGTCATCATCTACTTTATTATCAACAAAAACAGAACAAAAGTACTTATTTATTTCTTCGGGTTTATGCAGCGAAATAAGTAGGGCTATTACTTGCTTTCAGAGCTGAAGTTTATTTAGACCCGTCCATAAATCCTTGGATTTATGGGAATTAAACAGGTTGTCAAAATAGGCTCTTTTTTCACGACGTATAGAGGAGAGAGTGAAATTTCTTAATTCCTTATACCTATCCCAATCAGTATGTAATCTTGTTTGCTTAAATTTGCTTAAAGCAAAATTTCTTTCCTTAATTAATAATTTGATTGGATAAGTTAACCAGGGGGCATACGGTTTAGTAATACGTATAGTTTTTAATGGTGCATGTTTATCAAACAAGAGAATAACTTGTTCTGTGAGAAATTGCACTTTATCATCAATATTTTCAATATTGAACATTTCATGAAATGGAGTATTTATTAAATCATTGTAAAAACTGTCATAGTCAAAATTTTTAAAATCTCTAAACGTATAAAATTTAGGTTTCTTTCTTATTTTTGAAAATTCCAAACTACAGAAAGAGTACCCATGGACAGAAAAATTTGTTTGGTTTACACCTGATTTTTTTACTAAACTACAATCACTTATATAAATAGGATCAAGCAGAGTCATCTAGGTGGATGTTATTCTAGTAGGTTCAGTTATAGATTGATATAAGTCGTTCGCATCAAAATAAGATAGATGTCAACAAATCAATATTTATGTCACCTACGCAAATAATGTGATCAACTGTATTTGATAAAACAGATAACGGTTTTTGAAAATAATTGAATTTTCAAACCCCTTTATCTCGATGTAGTTCTAACTGATCAATATCCCATTTTGTAGATTCTGATTCATTTACTTTAAGAATAGTATAGGTATGGACGTTTACACCATGCTTGGATTCCAAATCTTATATTCCAATTAAAAATTTGAATGTCGAATATTTAATGTCCCAATAGCTGAATGGTTAAGACGATGTGCGTAGAACACGATAAGGTGGGTTCGAATCATGTCACGAACAGAATATTTTCAATTTTTCATTCAATTTGTTTTCACTTCAAGGGTTCAAAAATATGTTTCATAATATTGTCATTTATTTGTGGTTTTCCAAAGAATTGATATAACTTAATAGATTGTCGAAATTTTGCAGACACAGTGACCTGTAATAAAAAAAATCCCTACAAACATACACGCACAAACCTGTATTATCTACATGGGACAGAAAATAATTGAAAAATCGTTAGCATTCGATTTTAATAAAATCTGACTTAACGCAAAGAGAGATACATACCTACTTTAAAAAATTACAAATCATTAAAACAAACAACTTTCTATTGACGATTCGAATTTAGGCAGATACATCACAGGTAACAGTAAATATTATCACCACAAATTAAGCTAACATGAAACTATTAAAGACCCTTAGAACCCTAGAAATTACATTAACATACTTGGAACTATCTATCCATCTCAAGAACAAATATTCTTCGTTCCGACATAAGTAAATACACTCGAACACTTAACAGAGTGCTTAAGATTTGTTTAACATTTCTTTCCGAATCCATAATTGTCTACCAATAATTGCTCTTTTTAAGGATAATGTAAATAAAGAAAAAATAAATGAAGTATTTTATTATGACCACAATTTTGATCTAGTAAATTTATACAACATTTAATACTTCTTGTGCCAAACAAATCTACAGGGTGTTTCAGAACTATTTGATCAAACTTCTAGGGGTTATTCAGTGCAACAGTAGAAAACATTTGAGTATAGGGACCCATGTCCGGAAAAGTGTCACTACAGCACTACGGCCCTAAGACGCGTTAAAATTTAGAAAGACGATGAATTGCCTGAAGAGGATTTAATGCATTTAATTTTTACCTTTTGTACATGATATCATCACAACAATTGTTCAATATGTCAATGTTAATGTTTAATAATTTTATAGCTGATGATTTTAAACAATTTACTGGCGCTTGTGTGTTATCTTTAAAAACGATAACAGAGATTGTTTTTTGTAGTTGC